GGGGGGTTTAACTGAAATTCTGGATGCATAATTTTTAAACTAAACCATTGAACAAGACCAAGCCGTGCTGTGAACGATTGTGAATGCAATCAACTTGTGTTTCGCGCGCTCATATGAACTTATGCAGTTGCGCACGCCGCAAAATTCTTACTAAACATTTCTAAACCGGAACGACTTAACGTAAGAAGTAACTATATCATCCATTTCTCACATTTTCAAGAAAAATTTGAAATTTTGACGATATTGAAATGTCTTTAACGTAGTATATAAAAAAAAGAAACGTTAATATCTTGATAGCGAATTAAGCTATGGTTTAGATAATTACAGAGGTAAAAGCGCGGCTTAAAATCCCACTACCTATATCGATTACTCTATTTCGACCAAAAGTGGATAAAATCCCTTCTTGCACCAAGGATCATAGTATCATAGTAGTAGTATCATAACAAGATAGTTCACTCCTCTCTTTGGGCCAATTTAAAAAAGTGTCCTCCAAATCCGGTAGCCCCCTCTTCGATAAAGCGCGGCCTTTGCGTGAAAAACAATAAAAGCGAAACTAACAGGTGGTGCTATTCCTATTCTTCTTCTGGAGAAACGAAAGAAAGCTTCAAAACATAGACTTCAGCGACATCTGAAGCAATGAGCAGACTTCCGCGGACACTTTTTTGGCCGAGTGAACTATCTTGTTATGAACTATCTTTGCGTGCCCTCAGCCATTGATGTTACAATACATCAAGGACCTTACAACCTGTATAACCTCCATGTACAGTGAAGCTCACCTGTAGTCGCTGGTACTGGTGTTGAGACATGTGGTGGTGTTGCCCATGTTGTCTGTGGTCTCTATACTGTACGGGGGGCTCTCGGGGGAGTACGGGGTACCGCTGGGCGTGCCTGGCACAGAACTCACAGATCTTCCCATGCCTGGCGAGGACGGTGATGCTGGCCGTTGCTGTTGGTGTTGCTGCTGTTGTTGTTTGTGATGATGAAGTGGTGGTGTCGCAGGTCTGGTTGCTGGTGTAGAAACTTCGAAGTCCGATTCCCCGCCGGGTGTTTGATGAGTACGTTGTGGGTACCCGTTGTTCGTGTGGTTGTTGTTGTTGTTGTTGCTGGTTTGTCTACGATACGGGTGGTGATGATACTGATGGTGATGTTGTTGTTGTGGGGGGTGGTGGTGGTATCGGATTCCAGGAAATGTGTGGGCGAGTCTAGGGGGTGGAGTCTTTGGTGACGCTGGATCACCCAGTGGTGAGTCTGTGAATAAAACAGAAATAGAATAAATTCATCATATGGTTCGGCCTTTGGGACGGCTTGTGCAGAGGGCAGGGGTCAGGGGGT